AAAAGCCTTCACAAAGATGGCAAAGAGTTTTAGATTTATAACATCTTAGAAATTCCATTGAAAGCATTCTGAAAAAGTGCCATACGTGGAGGCAGTTCTGTTTGGGGGAAGTCTACAATTTTGAATGTTTACGGATGGAATAAAGAGAAAGATGGCAGAAATTCTTTCCCAAAGAAAATCCTGTCATTAAGAAAGCTTAATGTAATGTAAATATGAATGTAGACTAAGACAATAAAACCATTCTGTACTCACAGATGAGTAAATAAATTGCTGAATGGTAAGAAGCCTTCCATTAAATGTGGATACATGACTTCAGAGTTCACTGGCATCTAAATATAATAAATCACAAAGTCTAAATTACATATTGATTAAACAACATGAGAAAAATCTTCAACCATAAGAAACCTTAATTACATATTAAGATCAAAATATATTAACAGAATTAAATTAAAATGCTTAAATAATAAAGATCATAGTACAAAGCTAGAGTTGTCATTAAAATTAATAATGCTAGGTTCGGTGGGTACTTAAAGATTTTTAAATCAATAAAAAAATGAAGGAGTAATGGTTAGCATTTACTAAATATCAAGTACTATGCTAGGCATTTTACATGTATTCTCTTCTAATTTTTACAACAACCCTATTACATAGTGCTATCCTTATTTTATAGACAAAGAAACTAAGTTTAGCTTCTTTGAAACTAGCAAAGTTTGGTAGCAAATAAGTGGCAAAGCCTTTGACTTTTAAACAAATTTGAAATATGCAATCACATTGGTGAGATTCCAAAGACATTCCATTTTTAGTGCATCTTCAGATGATGCCCTTGTGATTTCACAACAACAAAAAAAGATTAAGAAAAATGACCTTTCCTACTAGAAACACCTAATTTGCTATAAGCGCAGTTGCCTCATTTCAATTGTTCCAATCTTACTACTTAACTTCTGCATTAATTTGGCAGTCCTTCCTGAGAAGAAAACAATATAAAAACTTTGCTGTTGTTTATTATAGTCTCTGAAGACAACCCTATAAATCTGTGAACAATTGCACAGCATCGATAATGTGCAAGTGTCCTTTAAGTCTTTCACTATGGTTTTTGTCTTACTAAAGCTATCAATATAAATGATAACTGTGCCTAAGATTCCTTTGCAAGCAACATTAATTTTGTAAAAGTCTTTGAATTTGTTAAAAATAAAGTCAAGAACTTCCTGTCTTAAAAGCCAGTATGTACTGAGAGCAGGAGAAAGGTAGCAAAAAATCATATTTTGCCTCATCTTAAGCTCACCATGTAAAAATGTTCCAGTCGAATTCCATATACTATCTGTAAGGCTCTCATGTAGATCATGTACAAGACTTCAGGCTACAACAGAAAAACAACTTTTAATACTCAGATGCATGATTCTAAAGCTGTATCACTATCATCGTTACCATACAATATTAGTCAACGAAAGCAAAGAAGAAAAAGGCCACAAAGTTACTCTATTTTCCTTGAAATAGTCCTTAGTTTTTCCAAATTTTAAAACACATGACACTTAGTTTGCTGGTATATAATAAGTGGTCAATGAGATAAGTTGTTTAAGAATGAGAGCAAGTATATCCAAATCCAATCCAAGCAACCCATCCACCCTAGGGAGAGGAGGAAGAAGGGTTAGCCTCTTAGAACAGGCTGTCGGGCATGAGGCAGAAGTAATGGCACATTAAGGATGTACTTTTTAAAAAAAGACCATGAGAAACCTTGTTTATTGCTGTAGATCTTAAGGTTTCCTTACACTTAAAGTTTAAGGGAACACTTGATCTAGGAGGTATAAATTTAATAGGGTAATAGGGCATTTTAAAAATCTTATTTTCTAAATGAGCAGTTCCTAAATGTTGGCTTGTGAACCTGTTCTGATCCACATACAAGTTTATTGGATAAGCAGTAAAATGAGAAACATAGGGAAAATGCGGTAATCTTTTCATAAAACTAAATTTATTCAATTTAATGGCCTACCGTTTATTCTGAGATTATTCCTTCCATTTTAAAGAATTAAAGAAATACTGAGATCAAAAAGTTTGAGTTCTACATCATTAAACCAGATTTCACTATGTTATCACTTCAAGATCAAGAAGGGAAACTGGAAGGAACTCTGGGATTTTCTGTGACACATAAATAGTTCATTTTTGTATTTAATAACTAAAGATATAAAGAACAATGCCTGTCAAAACAACTCAATTCCCCCTGGGGCATAATGCAATAAAATTAATCTGTAAGCTTCCGAAGAGAATAGTTTCTAAGCATTTTTTGTGGTTGGAAACCACTTGGAATAAGTTCTTTCAAGCCCTACCAATAAAGGATACTCTCAGACCACCATTGCAATAATAATAAAAAATTTAATATACTTTAATATGGTTTAAAAGTTATTTTTTATAAGAAAACGACCATATTACAGAATTGAATCCTAACGGGAATATGATGTTGCCCCACATATAAACTTACTGTTATTTTAAAATTACCTGAGGTGAGAGATTTTCTCTGGATGAAAATGACGGCCCACATCAAATAGGAGAGTTTATGCCTTTCTTGCCGCACTATAGACCTAGTAACTTACTTTATTCTCAAATTCCATTATTCACATGCACACATAACCACATTTTACCTTTGGATTTGGATAAAGATCACTCTTGGAGAGGTTTTTACCATCACCTCCTGTTAAGATCTTGTTGCGGATATGAACCACGATCTCAGCTACATTATATCTGGGGAAAGACAACGTTTCCATCTTGGGAGTTTCCTGCTAATTTGAAGGAAGAAAAATAAAAATCAGAAATACCACACAATCAGTAGTTCTTATTAGCTGGAAACTGGCAAATGCAAGGCAAAATTAACAAGCCAAGTTTGTGCTACTCATAGTAGTGTTAACTATCATCAAATAACCTAGTAAAATAAAAACAAATATGTACATCTATATCCTAAAATAACTTCTATTCTAAAGTGTCACAGTAATTTCTGCTAATTTTCCTAATACTGTTCTTTTTCACATGGGAAGGAGAACTGGTTGAATAGACAGATGAGAAACCATGTGCTTCTTTTCCACATTTGGGGGTCAGAGGGCCTAAGAAGATCAATCCTGAGATTTAACTCTCAAAGCAAGGCATATAAGGCAACACCATTAACAGAAGCAATACAGAGTAGAACTGTATTCTGATTTGACATCCTATTGAATCCATACATAGTGAGATGGTTAAAAGGTTAAAATGCAAACAGGAAAGGAGAAAAAAAAAAATAAAGAACATATGGTGTAATTGGCAAGAATTCCTATCACCAAAGTAGGAACTTTAAAAAAAAAACACTTATCCTAATGTCCTCAGATAGTGAGTTATTCCTACCTGTGTCTCCCTAAAGTAGTAATTCTCCAATCATGCCCCCCAGTGCACATCTGGAAATGACTGTAGACATTTTTAGTTGTTAGAACAGGTATGGAGGTGCTATTGGAATCTAGTGAGTAGAGACCAGGGATGCTGAAACATATCCTATAATGCACAGGGTGGCCCCCCACAGCAAAGAACTATCCAGTCCAAAATGTCAATGATGCTGAGGTTAAGAAAACTTGTCCTAGAACCTTGCATTTAACTCTGTTATAATACTTGTCACAATTATAGGAATTATGTTTATAGAACTCTGACACTACATTGCATGATCCTGGTAGGCTAAGACCTTTTCATTTTCTTCATCTCTCTCCCTGTGACTGGCAGAATAGCAACAGTAAGAGGAAGAGAAGCAGCAATAGAAGCCATTGTCTCAGCCACTTACTTAAATACGTGTTTAGTTACCTACAGATCCTCTACTGTCCAGTGAAGCTGCATGATCCCAGAAAACCAAAGTGAATATATTCATTTATGCAAACAAACTGAATTTCCACAATTCTGGAAATCTATTTCTTTATCCTCCTAATGTTTCTTAGAATATTAGGATTAAAAAGCAGCTCTGCCAACTTGCCTAACCTCTAATGAATATAGGAAGCCATTCTAAAAGATTATTAAATAACTTCTCATTTCTGCTTGAACGTTTGAAAACATCACAGAATTCACTAACTCTCAAGGCAACTTTTTCCTACTTTAATATGGCTCTAAATTAGGTAATTCTTCCTTATGTTGTGTAGAAATATGTTTTCTTGTAATTTCACCTACTGGTCCTATTTCTAGTCACTGCAACTAAATAGAATATATTTATTACTATACATAGAATATGTTTATATGACACCACTTTCAAAAATGTGAAATCACATTTTTATCACATCTCTATTAAGCCCTCTCTTCACTAAGTATAATTTCTTTATGTATGGCTGTATGTAACTTTAAAATACTCCTTATATGACAATGTTTTAGAAACTTTACCATCCTATTCACCTTCCTCTAAAACAAACTATTTTTGGAACTGGAGACCATTATCCTAAGTGAAGTATCTCAGGAATGGAACACCAAACACCACATGTTCTCACTAATAAGTGGGAGCTAAACGATGGGTACACATGGGCACAAAGTGATATAAAGGACATGAGAAACCAAGATGAGGGTTGGAGGAGAGGGATAAAAACCTACCTTTTGTGTACAATGAACACTATTCTGGTGATGGGCACACCAAAAGCCCTGGCTTAATCATTATTTAAGGTATCCAGTAACAAGAACACTTGTACTCCGTTAATATTTTCTAATAAAAAAAAATAATACCAAAGCACACTATTTTGTCAATGTCTTCTTAAAATGTAATACCCAAACCGACAGGGTCTGCCTAGGGCAAAGTATTAATACTGTAGGCAATGGCCTCTGCTGATCTAGTTCACAACTGTAGCATTTACCGACAAATATGTATTTATGATCAACTGAAACTCGATGGACTTCTTTAACATGACCCATTTATATATTAAGCCAGGACTTCCCTATGTTCTTCTTACATGATTGATTACTTGAAACTGAAGCGAGTATTTGTATTTTCTACTATAGAATTTCATAATTTCATTTTAGAGCTAGGATCTTTTGGAATCTAGATTTTGATGCCTCACATATTATATGTCCCTTTCTGCATAAATATGCATTCTGTATTTTCATCCAAATCTTAGATTTAAAATCTGTTGATAAAAAGGACTGGGCCAAAGACAGACTACAGAAAAAGTCACTTTTCCAAAGCAAGCTACATCGTATTTAATTAGAGATTATCACAACAGAAAGCGTAGGTGTAAAATATAATTGTTATTACTCATCTCTCTCCTAATGTTTTGCACTCTGCTATCAGATTAATCCTTATAAAACACCTAATGCATCATGTAACATCTGCACAAAAATACTTCAATTACTCACCTTACCCACCACATCAAATTTTTCTGCTTGGTCTCTAAAACTTTTAATAATCTAATGAACGTTCTGCTCCAAATTAGTCTCCTAGCTTTCCACACTTCCAATGTTTCCTTTTGGAATCTCCTCCAATATCCAAATTCTACCATTCTTTCAAAGTACAAATTCAGTTCCAATTTATTCATTAATATATGTGTGTGTGTGGAGAAAGTGATAAGAAAGAGAAGAAAGAGACTCGCTTTCCAACTACATAGTTTGAGCTCTTAGATGGAATAAAGTATAGAAATGACTTAATATATGTAAAGTGATGACCTCTCTGACTGCCTACCAAAGTAGCAGAGATTAACTGCTAATTACTCCTCCGGTTTCTCATTTATTTGCAACACCAGGATGCTGAGCAGAGTAGGTATTGAAAGGGTATCTGTTAAATTTTACACATTCCGTTTACTAAAATAAACCAGTTTGTGGAAATCATAATTCTACGAAGCAGAGATTAAACAAAAACAAACAGAAATGACACCCAAGCTCAATGAATTATGTAAAAACTTCCTTGAATTTGTACAGGGAAAAATGATCGTGTTGCATACGAGTGGGCCATACGTACACTGCTCTCCTCCTTTGGCTCTTGGATTAAGTATGATGTTATTGCCTTTTGGTTCATGGTTTCAGATTTGGTTAAAAGATGTTTGAGCAATGGAGCACTGTAGAAAGTTGACAACCATCTGCAACCAAAGAATCCCCATAACCACCACCCTTCCCAATAAATGGATTAACAAAACATACATAAACGAAAGCTTGAATTGACCAATTTCAACTCAAGTCTCGCCTTCTACAGTTTATGCTGCACCGGGCAACATCCATTAGTTTCACAGGAACTGAGCTCTTTTTTTTTTTTCTGGGACCAACAGCAAATCAAATAAAAAGGAACTATGGGCTCGTCCCCCACCTCCCAGGCGCTAGTGTCTTCAGTCTCCTCCCCAACGCTGCGCACAAAGAAAACACTGCAAGGCCAAGGGTCCCGACGCCTGCCCGCGCCTCAAGGGGGAGAGGACGCCCTCAGTCTCCCTTCCTCCGTCCTCCCGCACCCGCTCGAGCTCACCTACAGCACCAGCCGCCCACAAGAAGGCGGCAAGTTCGGCGAGCAGTCACGGGCAAAGTCAAAAATCAGCCAACACTGACGGTTGCCACTTTTCAAACTTGCCGCCTCCTACTGGAAGTCCCACCCCATCCCGCCACACTCACTTCCCCCCGCGCCGGATGCCGGTAGGGCTCAATAGACTCAAGGTGGGTGTGGCTTGAGTTGGAATCCAAAGCGCTGGGCTCCAGGCGGAACCCTTGTTCGCGGAGTTGGCGTCTAGTCGGAACCTCGATTCCGCAGGAAGTGGGAGCACCGTGGTTTGGGAGAGGAGTCCGGGTCGGGCATTTATCCCAGAGTGCCTTCCGCCAAAACCTGGAGCGTTTTCGGGGTCCGAGGTGAAGCGCCAAAGCGAGTGAAGGAGACTTAGCTAAGCTCAGGGTGACAGGGACAAGGAAGTGGGGCTCTCAGTGAGACAAGGGTAAGTTGTCGAGTCCCAGAGTAATAAAAATTTGTTGAGCATTGATTATGAGCCAGATTCTGTGTTAGATGCCTGTCGGCGTAATCTCACTTAAGATTCATTAAAGGGGGAGCGGATAGATACTATCATTATCCCCTCAAAAGGAGGTTCTAAATCGGAAGGAGTATGCAAATTACCGTAAGCTGCGCTCGGTAGTTCACAAGTAACGTAGCCAGGATGTAGACACAGATCCTGATTCTGCGTTCGTAAGACTGGCTTCGACAGGTGGAAGTAACCTCACATGCGTCTGGTCAAATTCTTTCACTTCACAGGTGAGAAACCTAGGCGCAAGGAGAAATTTATTGTTCCAAGTTATACAGTTGAATGGAGTAGAACCCAGGTCTCCTGATCTGAGCTTCTTCCTCTCTCCGTTCATCCCTCTGCACATAAAACTCAAAAGTGGTAGAAAATATCAGAGAGGCAACGAGGAAAGGAGGAAGAAAAAAAAAGATCTTTCTCATTGGCACATGCCAGATCAAATTGATTAGTTGTGCATTAGTTGTGCACATCCTCCATTAAACCCTATTTCTTTAGAGACAGGGGAGAGGAACATCGCAGAGTAGCTGGGAGCACAAGTCTAGAATCAGAGTTGGATTTAAATCTTTGACTACATCACTTACTACCTATGTGGACTTAGGCAAGTTGTTTAACCTAACTGAGCTGGCTTCTGTATCTTTAAAATAGTGATAACAGTCCTATCTGCTTTATAGGGCATCATGAAGGTTAAGTAAATTAGTTCATGTAAAGTGCTTAGTAAAGTGCCTGGCAAAATTGGGAGCACAGTTAGCTGTTATTTTGACTATATTATTTGTACATGGTCCCTAGTAAAATGTCTT